CGTGAGGGGGAAGCACGGAGGGGTCGGAGCGGAGCGGCGAGCACGGAGGGGTCGGAGCGGGAGCCGTGAGGGGGAAGCACGGAGGGGTCGGAGCGGAGCTGTGAGGGGGAAGCACGGAGGGGATCGGAGCGGTGAGCACGGAGGGATCGGAGCGGTGAGCACGGAGGGATCGGAGCGGTGAGCACGGAGGGGTCGGAGCGGGAGCCGCGGTGGGAGCGCAGAACGAGACCCCAGAGAGGGAACGACAACGGGAGCCATGGAGGGACCCCAATGCGAGATCCCTGAGGGGGAATCATGGAGGGACCCACGGTGCGACTGCAGGACACCTCTGAGGGAGGAACCATGGCGGGACCCGGAGCGAGACCCCTGAGGGGAAACCATGGGGGGACCCCTGAGGGGAAGCCATGGCGGGACCAGGGAGCGAGACCCCTGAGGGAGGAATCATGGCAGGATCATGGAGAGGGACCTCTGAGGGGAAGCCATGGCGGAATCACCGAGGGGGAGCCATGGCGAGACCCCTGAGGGGAGAACCATGGCGGGGCCGCAGAGCGAGACCCCTGAGGGGGAATCATGGTGGTATCCCTGAAGGGGATGCATGGCGAGACTCCCTGAGGGGGCAACCATGGTGGGATCCGGAGTGAGACCCCTGAGGGGAAGCCATGGCAGGATCCCTGAGGGGAAGCCATGGCGGGATCCCTGAGGGAAGAACCATGGAGGGACCCCAGAGTGAGACCCCTGAGGGGGAACCATGGTAGGATCTGGAGCGAGACCCATGAGGGGGAACCATGGCTGGATCCCTCAGGGGGATGCATGACGAGACCCCCTGAAGGGGCAGCCATGGTGGGATCCGGAGTGAGACCCCTGAGACCCCTGAGGGGGAACCATGGCAGGATCCCTGAGGGGAAGCCATGGCGGGATCCCTGAGGGAAGAACCATGGAGGGACCCCAGAGCGAGACCCCTGAGGGGGAACCATGGCAGGACTCCTGAGGGAGGAACCATGGCGGGATCCCTGAAGGAAGAACCATGGAGGGACCCCAGAGTGAGACACCTGAAGGGAAGCCATGGTGGGACCCCTGAGGGGGAACCATGGCGGGACCCCTGAAGGGGAACCATGGCGGGACCTGGAGCGAGACCCCTGAGGGAGGAATCATAGCGGGACCCCTGAGGGAGGAACCATGGCAGGACCCCTGAGGGAGGAACCATGGCGGGATCCCTGAGGGGGAACCATGGCGAGACCTCTGAGGGGGGAATCATGGAGGGACCCCAGAGCAAGACCCCTGAGGGGAACCATGGCGGGACCCCTGAGGGGAACCATGGCGGGACCCAGAGAGAGACCCACGAGAGGAAACTTCAATGTGAGAGGAGCGGGACTTCAATGTGAGACCCCTGAGGGGGAACCATGGTGAGACCCCTGAGGGTGGGATCATGGCGGGACTGCAGAGCGAGACCCCTGAGTGGGAACCATGGCGGTATCCCTGAAGGGGATGCATGGCGAGACCCCCTGAGGGGGCAACGATGGTGGGATCCTGGAGTGAGACCCCAGAGAGAGAACCATGGCGAGACCCCTGAGGGAAGAATCATGGAGGAACCCGGAGTGAGACCCCTGAGGGAAGAATCATGGTGGGACCCCTGAGGGAGAAACCATGGCGCGATCCCTGAGGGAAGAACCATGGCGGAACCCGGAGTGAGACACCTGAGGAGGAATCATGGCGGGATCCCTGAGGGAGGAATCATGGCGGGACCCCTGAGGGAGGAACCATGGCGGGATCCCTGAGGGGGAACCATGGCGGGACTCCTGAGGGGGAGCCATGGCGGGACCCCTGAGGGAGAAACCATGGCAGGACCCCTGAGGGAGGAACCATGGCAGGATCCCTGAGGGAGGAACCATGGCGCAATCCCTGAGGGAAGAACCATGGCGGAACCCGGAGTGAGACACCTGAGGAGGAATCATGGCGGGACCCCTGAGGAGGAATCATGGCGGGACCCCTGAGGGAGGAACCATGGCGGGATCCCTGAGGGAGGAACCATGGCGGGACCCCTGAGGGAGGAACCATGGCAGGACCCCTGAGGAGGAATCATGGCGGGACCCCTGAGGAGGAATCATGGCGGGACCCCTGAGGAGGAATCATGGCGGGATCCCTGAGGGAGGAACCATGGCGGGATCCCTGAGGGAGGAACCATGGCGAGACCTCTGAGGGGGCAATCATGGTGGGACCCGTGAGGGAGGAATCATGGCGGGACCCCTGAGGGAGGAACCATGGTGGGACCCCTGAGGGAGGAACCATGGCAAGACCTCTGAGGGAGGATCCATGGAGGGACCCCAGAGCGAGACCCTTGAGGGGGAACCATGGCGGGACCCCTGAGTGGGAACCATGGCAGGATCCCTGAAGGAGGAATCATGGCGAGACCCCTGAGGGAGGAACCATGGCGGGCCCTGCTGCCGCTCAGGAACCTCAGGGTGTTGCTCCAACAAGATCCGAATTCCCCATTTTCCTTAGAAATTCCCTCAATTCCTTTTCCCGCTTTTTCCCATTGGATCCATCCCGGTTTTATCCCTCAGCGGTCGGCGCTAGGACCGAGCCCCAGCGGCCGTAACGCGCAGGGGCGGCCATTCCTCCTCCTCCCGCATTCCCGACGCTTTCCCATTCCCGCTCCCGCTCCCCATCCCGGTGACATTTTTGGGATCGAATCCTGGAAAAAACTTTGGGATCCATGGAGAAGCCATTCCCAGAGAAAAAGGACGAAGAAGGTAAGCGCGGGAAAAAGGGGGAGGGGGGGGGGCAAGATGGCGCCGGCTCTGAGGGGAAGCTCCGGCTCTGAGGGGAATCGTCTGATTTTACCTCTTAAATAATCCCAAAATTCCAAGAAATCTTTGAATTTTTAATGGATTGCTCCATGAAAAAGCAGGGAATGGTGAACGAGGTGTTTTATTTTTTTTTTGTGCTGTTACAGAGGGAAAAGCGATGGTGAACCTCGAGCTGGATTTTTTAATGTTCCCACATGGAAATGCTTGGGGATCCCGAATTTACATCCAAAATTTTAGGTAAGAATATTTTTCCAAGTTTTTTTTTTTTTTTGGGAATATCGAGGCAAAATTCAGGAATTTTATCTTAGAATGTGAATTTTCCCATTTTTCCTTTGGAAATTCGAATTTTGGGAATTTCCGATTTTTGCTTCGCTTTGAATTTTTTTTTTTGCCGCACCAAAAAACCCGAATTTTATGAAAGAGCTGATCCAAAATCTGGGAATTTTCTCTAAAAAATTCCATTTAAATCCAATTTCACTTGGTTTTTCCAATTATCCAAAAAAAAAAATCCGTAATCCAAGAATTTTGCTTTTTTCCAAAGATTTTCCCATCTGGAATTTCCAGAATTTCTTTGGGAAAAAAAAAAAAAAATCGGAATTTTCTAATTAAACGTTGGAATTTTTTGATTAAATTATTTGATTTTTTTTTTTCTGGGGAAAAATAATTCCAAATAAAAAAATTCCCGTTGTTTTTTGGGGGGGGGAAAAAGTAGAAATTCCTTAAAAAAATTCAATTCTTAAAGTTCTTCCTGAATGAAAAAAAATTGGAATTTTTAAAATTGGAATTTCTTTTTTCGAAATTCCAGCAGAAATTCCCAAATTTCCTTCATTTTTTTAGCCTGAATTTTTCCATATTTTTCCCAAATTTTTCCATGTTTTCCTCCTCATTTTATCCCCATTTTTCCATATTTTTTCCCAATTTTTTTCCCAAATTTTTTTCCAAATTTTTCCCATTTTTCCCCCAATTTTTCTCCCATTTTTCTCCCATCCCAATTTTTTTCCCAAATTTTTTTCCAAATTTTTCCCATTTTTCCCCCAATTTTTCTCCCATTTTTCTCCCATTTTTCTCCATATTTTTCCCCAAATTTTCCCCAATTTTTCCATATTTTTTCCATTTTTTTCAATTTTTTCCCAATTTTCTCCCCAAATTTTTCCAAAATATTTTCCCCAAATTTTCCCCAATTTTTCCATATTTTTTTTTCATTTATTTCCCTCAATTTTTCCCAATTTTCCCATTTTTTCCCCCTTTTTATTCCGTGGAAAAATTTCTCATCCCCAATTTTTTTAATCCCTGTTTTAAAAAAGGGAATTTTGGGGGGAAAAAATGGGAAATTTTGGGAAAAAAAAGGGAATTTCGGGTGAAAAATGGGAATTTTTTGGGTGAAAAATGGGAATTTTTGGGTGAAAAAATGGGAATTTTGGGGATTTTGGGGGAAAAATGGGAATTTTGGGTAAAAATTTGAGATTTTAGGAGGGAAAATGGGAATTTTTGGCAGGAAAAAATGGGAATTTGGGGGAAAATGGGAATTTTTAGTGGAAAAATGGGAATTTTAGGTGGTAAAAATGGGAATTTTGGGGATAAAAATTGGAATTTTTACAGGAAAATGGGAATTTTGGGGAGGAAAATGGGAATTTTGGGTGGAAAAATGGGGATTTTTGGGAGGAAATGAGAATTTTTGGGAGATAAAAATGGGAATTTGGGGAAAAAAATGGGAAATTTTTGGGAAAAATGGGGATTTTTTTCTCCATTTTTTCCCCATTTTCCCCCCATTTTTTCCCCATTTTTCCCTCATTTTTTCCTCTTTTCATCCCATTTTTCCCCCCATTTTTTCCCATTTTTTCCCCAATTTTCCCCCCATTTTTTTTCCCAATTTTTTCCCATTTTTTTCTTATTTTTCCCCATTTTTTTTCCCTTTTTTTTCCCATTTTATCCTAAATTTTCCCCATTTTTTCCCCATTTTTTCCCTTCTTTTTTCTCATTTTTTCCCCAATTTCCCTCCCATTTTTCCCCATTTTTCCCCCATTTTTCCCCTTTTTTTCCCCAGCTTTTATTTCCTTCTCCTCTGGATATTTTTAGCTCTGGGTGTGGCCATGCCTGGATTGAATCCAAAATAAATCCAAGCTGAGCTCTGCAATTTTTTCCTTTTATTCCCCTTTTTCCTCCCTCAATTTTCCCAGATTTTTCCCCCAATTTTCCCATTTTTTCCCCAATTTTTTCTCCATTTTTCCCCATTTTTCCCCCAATTTCCCTCCCATTTTATTCCAATTTTTCCCCCATTTTTTTTCCTATTTTTCCCCAATTTTCCCCCATTTTTTCCCCAATTTTCCCCATTTTCCACTCCAATTTCCCTCCCATTTTATTCCAAATTTTCCCCATTTCCCCCAATTTTTTCCCCATTTTTCCCTCATTTTTTTCCCAATTTTCCCCAATTTTCCCCCATTTTTTCCCTCATTTTTTCCCCAATTTTCTCCAATTTCCCCCCATTTTTTCCCTTCTTTTTTCCCCATTTTTTCCCCCATTTTCCCCCAATTTTTCCCCATTTTCCCCCCTTTTTTTCCCATTTTCCCCCCCATTTTTTCCCATTTTTTCCCCATTTTTTTTCCCATTTTTTCCCCATTTTTTCCCATTTTTCCCCCAATTTTCCCCATTTTTTCCCCCATTTTTTCCCCATTTTATTCCCATTTTTTCCCCATTTTTCCCCCAATTTCCCCCAATTTCCCTCCCATTTTTTCCCATTTTTCCCCCATTTTCCCCCATTTTTTCCCAATTTTCCCTCCCATTTTATTCCAATTTTTTCCCCATTTTTTCCTCTTTTTCCCCCAATTTTCCCCCTTTTTTCCCCAATTTTCCCCAATTTCCCTCCCATTTTATTCCAATTTTTTCCCATTTTTTCTCCATTTTTTCCCCCCATTTTCCCCCATTTTATTCCCATTTTTTCCCCATTTTCCCCCCAATTTCCCTCCCATTTTATTTCAATTTTTTCCCCATTTTTTCCCCAATTTCCCTCCCATTTTATTCCCATTTTTCCCCATTTTATTCCAATTTTTTCCCCATTTTTCCCCCATTTTTCCCCCATTTTTCCCCATTTTTTCCCCATTTTTCCCCATTTTCCCCCATTTTCCCCCAATTTTCCCTCCCATTTTATTCCAATTTTCCCCCATTTCCCCCCTTTTTTCCCCATTTTTCCCCCCATTTTTTCCTCTTTTTTCCCCATTTTTTCCCATTTCATTCCCCATTTTCCCCCCATTTTTTCCCCATTTTTCCCCCATTTTCCCCCATTTTTCCCCCCATTTTTTCCTCATTTTTTCCCCCATTTTTCCCCATTTTCCCATTTTTCCCCTTTTTTCCCCATTTTCCCCATTTTTCCCCATTTTCCCCATTTTTCCCCATTTTTCCCCTCATTTTTTCCCATTTTTCCCCATTTTTTCCCCATTTTTCCCCCAATTTTCCCCCAATTTTCCCCCAGTTTTTCCCCATTTTTCTCCCATTTTTTCCCCAATTTTTTCTCATTTTTTCTCCCATTTTCCCCCAATTTTTTCCCATTTTTCCCTCATTTTTTCCCCAATTTTTTCCCATTTTTTCCCCAATTTTCCCCAATTTCCCTCCCATTTTTCCCCATTTTTCCCCATTTTTTCCCCATTTTTTCCCCATTTTTCCCCATTTTTTCCCCATTTTTCCCCATTTTATTCCCATTTTTTTTC